AAGAAGAGATAGATGTAGGATTTGTCCCAAAAAAAAGAAGAAGAAGAGATAGTTGTATGGAAGGAAGAGGAGTGGAATCGGGCTAGTGTATGGGAATTTAGACTCGGTTTCGGTAACTCCCAAGTTTCTCAAGGTCAAGACGGATTCACTCTCATCAGTGACAAAGTCGAGAAAGATTTATAACACGTGATCTGTTTTGGAAGGACATGAGCATCAAGTGTTGTACAAGGTTCACCCATGATCACCATTGCATCTTTTCAATTTCTTCCACTTTTTCTTAATGGAGCGATATAGATAAGTCCTTTAATATTTGGTTGTTATGGCCTCGCTTAATTACTTAATGGGTTGATATTGTTATGTTGTTTAAGCCTTTTATCTTTCTATATAGTTCTCTACTTCTCTTTGCACCGTAGAAAACGTTATCGAACATTTTATCAATCCCTAAACATTTTTTTTTTGTTTTTGCTAGACATTCAATCCCTAAACTTCTTCCTCTCTATCTTCTCATCGTCAATTCTCTCCTCATTTCTATCACAATCAGCTCAAACTTGAGTCTTATCAGAAACGCTCTGTCTTTGGCTTCTCAAACTCTATCTCCGATACCGATCTTTGATGTTCAGAGCCGAATATTAACATTTAATTAATATATTTTTTCAGTTTTTTTTCCTACAACAATACATTCATGTCTTCTTACATGAAATAAAATATGATCTCAAAGGCCTATCAGTATTAGATGGATCAAACGAATTAAGGATTTGAAGATTTAAGTATTAAAAAGTTTCTGTTTTCAGTTTTATCTAAATTTTTGCTATATATAATCATACAATATCTGTTATTTTCAAAATTTTGTTGTTTGCTTAAGACATTATATATGAAACTAGAGCGTTTATGGCTTCTTCTTGTCGAGTTTGTATGATTGCTTTTGCCATAGTCAGTTGATCAATATCCACTTGCTTGTACTTTGTTTCTACTTTACAGGTCGGACTTGACCTGACAGAAACAACACTCATACGAGGGACAAACACTGGAAATTAATTTTGGACGATGGTCAGATTACTTCAACACCCAGCTTGAGAAAAAGCAACCACATAAAAATTAATAATAATGGAGAAAGTCAGCTCTAGAATAAGGAATCATGAAGAAGAAGGAACCACGTCAACCTTCTGACATGTCTTGAAATCAATTTTTGACTCTTTTTCTTGGTTATCTATAGTTTCAGAAGAACTTCCGCTATGTTTCTCTGATGCATTTATATCCTGTTGGGATTTGAGACTAGAGGAAATGGACATGAGAAAGAGATAATAAATGCTCAAAAATATGCTGCTATAAACTCTTAAAGTTGAAGAGGCTGCAACTTAGAAGCAAACGAAAGTCCAATAGACACACATACTTTGACAATACATGTACCAAACTGTTGATATCACTTTAGAATAAAAATATAAACGAAAAAAGCACCTACTGTCTGTACCTAAAGCCTAAAAGGACACACCAACACAAAAATATATATATAGAGAGAGGAGAACTAGTTGTCACCTTCGTTGATTGTGTAACTTGAACCCAAACAATCTTGGCACATAGCTTTGCGACACCTCTTCTGGTCTCATACAATCGTAAGTCATCAGGAACAGATGTGGAAATGTTGTCCCAAAGTAAGCTCCATCTATATCTGTATTCATATGTTTAAAGAAGAACAAAAACCAAAGATCAGAAAAATATCGAATGCGAATCAACAAAGGATACTTCCTTGGTATTTTGATAGCGGGTCATAAACGTCTTCACATTTGGGACAATATATCTTCACGGTACTTGCTCGAGGGATATCGGATAGACAAATAGGTAAACAATGTTGGCCACGACAATCAACTCTTGGGCATCTTCCAAACTCACGTTTAACATAGAACAGAGTCCTAGATATGTCAATAAGTAACGAGAATGAATCATTCCGTATAACACCTCGGCTGCTGACTCGATCAATTCGTTTTGTTCCTCTGTAATGATCTCACCTGTTGGTCAATGCCAAATCAAGACACACAAAAAGAAATCCCAAAGACAAACATATCACAACATAATAAAGAGTTACCATGAGAAGAAGATTCTTCATCGAGAATCAAATCAAGAGCGTGGTCGTAGTAAGGAACTTGATTGCTGAGTCCAGACATGTTGAAGTCATCTAGGAAGACAAGTGGATCCAAAGAGGAATCAGTTTCTTGGTGGTACTGGAGTGGATACCCTTTCTTTTCTTTTCTTTTATTAACCCAAAATCATAAAAAGTATATTTCTTTCTAAGAATTGTAAGTTTTTAATATTTTTATAATTAATTTTATGAATATAAATTCACTAAATTTATTTAAAGATTATATAGCTATATAAATTATATTATATCTATATATATTTAATTATACATATATTCACAAATAAATGGAGTAAAGCATATATTTTTTTTATAAAAAAACAAATTTGAAATTTTTTTAAAAATGCTATTTTTAAAAAAGAAAATTGGCTCATATAACACTTTTCTAGAATTTTTGGTTTTGGTTTTTGGCACTTTGTGAGAAATGATGTCTTTTTAGCATTTTTTTTACTTATCCCTTCAACATATTAGGATTCTACCAATTCTCTCTATTCCTCTTCACACTAACATGTG